AATGCACGCATAAATAACCTGAGTTGACGCGCCCGGAAATACCGCCGTAACAGTACTCATCATCATGGCATCGAGCGGCCCCAACGTAGACTACTACACGGTCCAGAAACTATTCACAAAATGGCAATGCAATAGTCCCAATATTATACACCTACCTGTAGGATAGCCTCCTTCGAAGTTACTCCAACATTCGGATCCCTGAATCTCAGGTGGATAGCGCCCAAACCCCCAAAATGTTTACCTGTAGCACCCTTAAAGATGTCTGGGCAAATAACCCAGGAATGATTCAGGCGCGATTCTCCGAGTGCATGTGTCTCGTCTGCCTAGAGGTTAGGGCAACAGACTCCTCCTTGGGTCAAAAACCTACCGGCCAGAGACCGAGGGTACCAAGACAACCTCGCACATATACATGAGAACTAAAAGACTCATTGGGTGAAGATGGGGGTGGCGAAGGTTGCTCGAAGGTGCATGTGCATCCCTCCCCCATTTGAGTTAGTATCAGAAGCACAGTCGTTAGGGTTGGGGGTCATACAGAGGGAAGTTACTAATTCTATTTGAGAGGGAGAGAAGAAAAAAATAAGAAAAGTAGAAAAGAAAAACAAGAAAAGTTTAGAATTAAGATATAATTACTCCTGTCACAGACACAAGGCGGGAATTGACAGTTGTTTTCAGAATTCATTAGAATCGGATGGCCAAGTGGGGCAGGGGAAAGATTAAGAATAGGCGTGATAGCTATAATGTATTAACTTAGTATAAGTCCCAAGATATCCTCTTTGAAATACTTCCATTAAATACAATGTGTTGGGGGACGATCAAACTAAGGAGTTTGATAATTAATAGAAATGAAATTTTCTTCTTCCTCTTCTTCTTCCTCCTCTTCTTCTTCCTCTTCCTTTTTCTTCTTCTTTTTCTTCTTCCTTTTGTTCTTCTTCTTCCTCTTCCTCTTTGTTTTCCTTTTCTTCTTCTTCTCTCTCTTCCTTTTCTTCTTCTTCTTCTTCTTCTTCTTCTTCTTATTATTATTATTATTATTATTATGCTATATTTAGTTCATATGCTTATCTATGTAGAGGTCTTTGTTTTTTAAAAGTATATTTACATCTATTGGCCTGGGTTTTACGTGAGTCTTTCATAAATAAAATGAGTCCTTCGGTATGATTCGAACCTGCGTCTCACGTATATAAGAGAAACACACACACACATATATAGTTTATAGGTACGTATAAGTATCATTTTTATATAATGTATGTAAATATATACATAAAAGATCCTCTATGTTTCCTTGAAATTGTTTTTATTTCCTACGTGTTCCTTTGTTTTTCTTCTTCCATATTCCCCAAGTGCAGTATCGTCTTAATTTCCGTTCGCCATCAATTGACTGAATCAGTTGGAAGAGAATAAAGAAAAAGGCGAGATTGAACTCTGTAACCTCACATAAAAGAAATCTTCCCGCAAACAACCAAGGGCCACCTCCTCTGTATATGTCCTTTTCTTGTCTGCAAACTCGATAATACCGAACCCCCCCACCGCACTTCTATAAACCCAACATTATTATATTCACTGATAAACCCTTTCTTTTTCCTCTCTACTTGCTACCTTAGATATAGTTAGGAATACAAAAACCCACTCTTGCTAGCCACAGTCTTGTAATTTTTGTTTAATGCCTTGCATATTAATGGCATGCACCTTTACACCTAAGAACTACTATGACACGTACGTGGGGACGAAACATCCCAATTCCGTTCGTATTAAAAAGAAAGAAGTTCCACTCGGATAGCCTCTTTCCAATAACCGCTACTATACACTAAAAAGGATGTTTTTCTGTTCACTATAATCTCTTCTAATCTAGTTTTAAACGTTATCTTTCCGACATATCCTTATAAACAACACTTCTTACTTCCACCTATTCATTAACTCTCTACCTTGAGTGGCTCTTGGAAATTGTACCAGGTGAAAAATAAGTAATATATATATATATATATGTGTGTGTGTGTGTGTGTGTGTGTCTTTTTTGTGTGTGAGTCTTTTTGTGTGTCACCTATTACTTAATTTCATACATATATATATATATATATATATATATATATATATATATATATATATATATGTGTGTGTGTGTGTGTGTGTGTGTGTGTGTGTGTGTGTGTGTGTGTCATGTTATATAAATATGTATATACAATAAGTGATATATATGCTCCTGAAAAATTTATTTCGATTGAGCTCTCTGGGGAGGAAGTGTAGGTGACTATTACGGCTAATAATGCAAGACACTTCGCTAAATCGAATCGAGTTCTCTCAGTCACTGTATGTTTATCTAAAAATAAATACACTTAAATCCATCGAAACCCCCTGACTGAGCTGTGGATACAATAAACATATCTGTCTATGGATATATATATATATATATATATATATATATAAACGTTATCTTTCCGACATATCCTTATAAACAGCACTACTTACTTCCACCTATTCATTAACTCTCTACCTTGAGTGGCTCTTGGGAATTTTACCAGGTGAAAAATAAGTAATATATATATATATATATGTGTGTGTGTTTGAGTCTTTTTGTATGTGTGTATATATTTACCTATATATAAATATTTACATATATATATATATATAATATAATATATATATATATATATATATATATATATATATATATATATATGTGTGTGTGTGTGTGTGTGTAGGTTGAACAATGAACAAATGTATTGAAATAATAGATATATACAAAGCAAGAGTGTTAGTAATAAGCAGAGAGAAGTGTCCGTCCGAAAGATCAGGTTACACTGCGTCTCCGACTGCCCCCACACAGTTAGTATTTATGAAAGTAGGAAGAGTCCATTCTACTGCATGTGGGTTACTACAACAATATATTTATTTAATTAGTTCCACACGTATCCGGCTACTACGAAAAACTCTACAAAACAACATCAACTTCATCTTGGGAATTGGAATATACAAACTCTCCAGGACAACAACTCAGCACCAGAAAGAAAAACAGCACTGTTTGCATTGGAGCTAAAGAAATACAACATTGATATAGCTGCACTGATAAGTAAGCATCAGTTGACTACATGAAAGGAGAAAGCAAAATAAGACATCTAACAGTGTCCCTGCTGCACTTGGATACAATACATTCCCCTGTACTGTTTGTGTTTTTTTTGTGCAATTCTCGAGCCGGTCGCAAAAGTCATGCCCATCATAGGCATGCAGATAAGTAGTTCGTGGTCGTCAGAACCTCATATGTCGAACTCGACGGGAGAATCCATCATATATATATATATATATATATATATATATATAAAAGAAATATGTTGTAGAGGTTCCAACGAGAGAAAAGTATGTATATTAAAAAGAAGAGAAGAGAGGTGCCGCAAACGTTTTTGGTTGTAATGTGGATTTATTTAGAAAAAATATTATGCTTTGTTTTACATAATTTTACGACACGTGTTTCTGGTTTCGCGACCGTCTTCAGGTAAAAGTGGAGATTTCCACATATTATTAAAAATAATTAATTTTTCCTCATGTTCAATGTTAAATATTCTCGATATGAGACATTCTCTGTTTGTGTGTTGGTAATCCGAATTTCTTTCTTGAATTGGCAATGAAGAGTTCTGCGCGAAGGGTCATAAAACAATTAAGGTTGGTCCAGCGAAATGATAAATTAGTTATCGACATTTTATCTTTTAATGTTTTACTGACCCCTATGTGCTCTTGGATCTGTTTCCATTTTGGTGCGTTTCTGTCAGCATGCGTGTATATATGCGTGCGTATATTTCCCCTCCATACATATACTGTCTTACTACGAGTAATTCGTAAACTTATTTGTACCTATACACGCATACATATATATATATATATATATATATATATATATATATATATATATATATATATATAAAATAAAAAACATAACATATATATATATATATATATATATATATATATATAAACATAACATATATATATATATATATATATAAATAAAAAAAATAAAATACGTATATTACTTATACGTACAGATCGATCGCCTGATGATTGCGTGAAAGCCCATGAAACTGGAAGTCTTAGTTGGTCAATGTCCACCTAAGATTTGGCTTAATATATATTAAAGCTCCGTCATTTTAGGGCACGGAGCAATCTTAGGCAGAAACTCTTTCGGAAGCTGCTTATGCTTTTCTCTAATTACACACGCGTAGTCATCCACTGTTTATGCAACTCCTTAGTGTGGGTAGACGTCTGAATTCTTCAAACCGGAATCGAGACCGGAGTTATTATGATATCAGTTGGATATCTTACCTCTAAGCCATCGTCGAACAGCCGCCAGGGAGGGAATTTTAACGTTTTTCAATATACGAAATACGTCAATATATTTTTATATGTATATATTGTGTATATTCAGGCAGCATATTTTCATTCAGAGTTGGTTTAAATAATTTAGACACATTAAGACATTTCTTGATCAATCTTCTAAAGCTAGCAAGAAATTATGTGGTCCTCGCACAGAGTAATAAATATTCTAGGCTGAACACAAATTCAGTATATAACAAAATTTAGCTCTGTATGGACGTAACACAAATTTGCCAGGCACTCTTTCAGGCAGACCCTTGCTTGGTAATGAATTCAAAGGTTTATATATATATATATATATATATATATATATATATATATATATATATATATATATATATATATATATATAGATAGAGAGAGAGAGAGAGAGAGAGAGATTGATTGCCTACGAGTTCATATGAAACTTTCCTTCGAATGGCGCTGGTTGAGGCGTATACCGTTTTACAGGCTGCGCGCTTTCCCTGAACAAAATTAATTATAAACTATTTAGCCTCTTTTTGAATTCATTTTCTTTTTATTTTTGTAAACGCCTGACATTGGTGATTATTATCAATAACATTCAAATGAACTGCGCCATGTGATAATTTCTGACGTAGTTTCAACTGAAAGATATCATTAAAGGTAATAATACGTATCTGTGAATGCGAAATAGACATCAGAGAATCAATGCTGATTTGTATTTCCTGTTTGAAAATATATTTCTTTCTTTTACCATTTTGTTTTTGTTTTTGTTTTGTTTTTCTTTTCTTTCCTTTCCCCAATATCATTTTTTCCTTCCTTTAGCTCTTACTTTTAGTTCATTTGCTTTTTACCTTTCTTTTGTTTGATTTTTATTTAATTTTATTTTTTTTTCTTTATTTCTTATCTATTTTCTTTTGTTTTTTTTCTCTTTCTAACTTGCGTTTTTTCTTTTTTCTTTTCTTTCCTTTCCCCAATATCATTTTTTCCTTCCTTTAGCTCTTACTTTTAGTTCATTTGCTTTTTACCTTTCTTTTGTTTGATTTTTATTTAATTTTTTTTTTTTTTATTTCTTATCTATTTTCTTTTTTTTTTTTTTTTTTTTCTTTCTTGCGTTTTTTTTTTTTTTTTTTTTCTTTCCTTTCCCCAATATCATTTTTTTCCTTCCTTTAGCTCTTACTTTTAGTTCATTTGCTTTTTTACCTTTCTTTTGTTTGATTTTTTATTTAATTTTATTTTTTTTTCTTTATTTCTTATCTATTTTTCTTTTGTTTTTTTTTCTCTTTCTAACTTGCGTTTTTTTTTTTTTTTTTCTTTTTCCTTTCCCCAATATCATTTTTTCCTTCCTTTAGCTCTTACTTTTAGTTCATTTGCTTTTTACCTTTCTTTTGTTTGATTTTTATTTAATTTTATTTTTTTTTCTTTATTTCTTATCTATTTTCTTTGTTTTTTTTTCTCTTTCTAACTTGCGTTTTTTCTTTTTTCTTTTCTTTCCTTTCCCCAATATCATTTTTTCCTTCCTTTAGCTCTTACTTTTAGTTCATTTGCTTTTTACCTTTCTTTTGTTTGATTTTTATTTAATTTTATTTTTTTTTCTTTATTTCTTATCTATTTTCTTTTTTTTTTTTCTCTTTCTAACTTGCGTTTTTTTCTTTTTTCTTTTCTTTCCTTTCCCCAATATCATTTTTTTCCTTCCTTTAGCTCTTACTTTTAGTTCATTTGCTTTTACCTTTCTTTTGTTTGTTTTTTTTATTTAATTTTTTTTTTTCTTTATTTCTTATCTATTTTCTTTGTTTTTTTTTCTCTTTCTAACTTGCGTTTTTTCTTTTTTTCTTTTCTTTCCTTTCCCCAATATCATTTTTTCCTTCCTTTAGCTCTTACTTTTAGTTCATTTGCTTTTTACCTTTCTTTTGTTTGATTTTTATTTAATTTTTTTTTTCTTTATTTCTTATCTATTTTCTTTTGTTTTTTTTTTCTCTTTCTAACTTGCGTTTTTTCTTTTTTCTTTTTTTTTTCCCCAATATTTTTTTTTTTTCTAACTTTAGCTTTTTCTTTTTTTCATTTGATTTAACCTTTCTTTTGTTTGATTTTTATTTAATCAATCTTATCTATTTTCTTTTGTTTTTTTTTTCTTTCTTTCGTTTTTCTTTTTTTTGATTTTCTCTATTTTTTTTCTCTGATTTTCTTTTTTGATTCTTTCTGATTTTCTTTTATCTTTCTTTTCTTTCTTGTTTCATTTTCTTTCATTCTTATCACTTTGGTTTAATTTCCGTTTATCTTACTTTCTTTCGTTTCTCTTTTATCTCATTCTTATTCTTTATTTTCCGTTATGAGTTTTATGTGATTTTTTTTTTATTTTCTTTCCTCTTTGTTTCGTACTCCATTCTTTTATTTTTGTTTCGTTTTTTTTTCTTGTTATATACTTCTCTCCATTTTCTTCCGTTGTTTTCTCTTTCTTTCTTCTTTTTCTTTTTATTTCCTTTTCTATTTATTTTCTTTTTTTAAAACTATTTCTATTCCTTACAGGTTCATTTGTTTGATTGTTTCTTTTCTTTCTTTGTTTTCTGTGTTGTTCCTTTGATTTATTTATTTATTTTACCAGATTCTTCTTTCAGTTCCTATTTCATTCCACTTTTTTCATTCTTTTTCAGCTGTTTATTTCTTTCTTCTTTCTTCTTTTTCGTTCTTAATTTGATCTCTTTGCTCAATTTGTTTCTTTCATTCTGTTTGTTCTTTTCTTTTTTTTCTTCTTTTCGCTTTTCTTTCTTTATCGTTTTCATTCTCTTTCTACTTCCCTTTTTCTTTCTTTCTTTCTTTCTTTCTTAATTCATTTTTTCTTAATTCTCTTCTTTTTTATTTGTCTTTTCTAACTCTTTTTCTTTTTCTCTTCTTTTTCTCCTTCCTATATCATTTCTCTCTCCTTCCTCTCTAGTCTTCACTATCGTATGTATTGATTTTTTTCAATGCCCTTCACATATTTTTTCCTTTTTTTATTTTCTCTCTTATTTTTTTTTCATTATTTCTCCATTATCATTTCATTCCTAATTTTATACCCAACCATTATCACACATTCTCCTCTCCTTTTCAATTCATTTTCTCCTTCCTACTACTTATTGTCTTTCACCATTTCCTCCCTTTCTCTTTCTTTCTTGTTACCCTCTCTATTAGGCATATGATATCTAAGTAATCATTATATACCGAGAAATACTATTAATCTGATGTCAAGACGAAGTTATTAGAGATGAAAACCAGGAATCGTTCAAGAAGCTCTTTTCTAAATAAATGCCTTTACACAAAATGTCTCTTTAAATAAGGGTTTCAATAACAAATAACGATGAAATATAATGTAGCATCAACAAACAAAATTATCACGAGACAAACTATGTAACAATAACAAGATACCAAACGATGGTACCAAAATTTAAAGCTTTCTCCTTCGAAATGTAATGTGACTTGAATATGAAATTTTCTTGAAACTGAAAAAAAAAAATGACCTAGTTACAATATTTTAGCAGGATACAATTTTAGAATATAGGCGACCATGGCTCTCCGCAGATTTATTTTCTGAGAATTGTTCTGATACCCGGGAAAGATAGTGGGGTAGTTTACCGTAGCGTTCCCCATGGTTTTGAATGTTCTGTTTTCAGAGTAAGTCTTCTGGCCTAGACTAACTTGCCCCTTAACTCATACCTACTGAGGGACAAGAGTTGGTCTCCTGCTTTTCCTTGGTAAAGATCGCATAAAAAAAGGCATGAAACAGACAGCATACAGTGTCGTTCTATGGCAACACCCTCACTCTGACTCTTTCTCTCTACCCCCCACCACTTAAACAAAGATACACACACACACGCATACAGATGCATGAACACACACACAAGCATACCCGCACAAACACACACAAATAAACACACACACACACACACACACACACACACACACATATATATATATATATATATATATATATATATATATATATATATAGCAATTGATTTTTCATTTAGTAATGCGTCATATTTAAATTTACTTTTTAAAAATTAATGTTTAAGCAATAAATTAAAAATATATATCGCTTAAGAATAACGTTTAAGCAATAAATTAATATATATATATATATATATATATATATATATATATATATATATATATATATCGGTTTTATATCTGGACAAGAGTTTGGAATTTGGTAAGTTGGTTCCATCAATAGGTATTGTTTTTTCTTTAACACACAGACACACACGCACACACACACACACACACACACACACACAGACATATATATATATATATATATATATATATATATATATATATATATATTAGTTGCATTGACTGAGTTTGTGGCCCTGGGTTTCACGCTATTTGCGATCGTCGGACAAACTGATTAATTTTTAAATTTTGGATTTATATATGCTTGCGTATATCAGTGTTTTTTATGGAAGTTGGAGGAAAAATTGTTGTCGGAACTCATTGACGGACGCAGACACACATACACGCACGCTCACTCACCGGAGCTCACACAAACATAAACATATGTGAACAGTGTGGGGCTGGGCATATATGCGCATCCATGTGTCGTTGCGTACATACGTACGCATTTGGTCGCTGTATTCAAAGTTGGATTGTGTAGCGAATATTTTTTGCTTGTTGCGCTGTCAATGCGCAGAACGTTCTGCTATTTTGTTCGCCGAATAATGTTTTCTCGCACATTTGTATATACGTATGATAGAGTTTGTCTAAGACTATGGTAGGTAAAAATTGTTGTTATTTTTAATTTTTTAAGGTTGTTTTGTGGTTATTTTAAAGCCGGTTATTTGCTTGTCTTTTGGCGATTGCGCATATGTAAATAGTAGAAATTCCAATTTGTATTTATTAGTATTTATGCGGTGGTATTAATTTTGCTGGGGAGGGAGAAGTAAGTATAATTGTGGACTGATACAGTAATGGTATATATATATATATATATATATATATATATATATATAATATATATATAAATATAATCTTGCATTCAGGTACATGCGCTCCCGTGATGCATTTTAAAGAATACATAATATCCCAATCAATTGAGAAGCATATTATGCCTTGAACCCATACCTCATGCACTGCCAATTTTCTTTATCTCATGATGAGTGCATTTCAGAATTTGCGAAATTCAGTCTCATTAACAAATAGTAAATAATAATAATAATAATAATAATAGTAATTATTATTATTATAATTATTATTAGAAATTCTCTATACTTCCATATTAAGCTCTCCAATTATGAAGATCGATTGCCCCCAAAACATTTTCTTCCAGATTTACCCTGGTTGACGGTATCTTGGCAAAACCTATACTTTATTTATTAAAACCAAATTTATATATAAAAATGAAGGAAAGATGTAGATTGTGGTATTGATTACACCAATAAAAGCATTATTTGCTTGAAGAAGTTCCTTCTTGGAGCCAAACGTGTTACCAATAATAAGGTTTTTTACACCTTGTCATTCACTTATCCATTGTCTAGTATGTTGCCTACGTTCTGATTGGACGCTTCTGTTTCTAATCGAAAAAAGAACACGATTAGAACACGTGATATTCCTAACACCAGTATTTGCATGAGTCTGTATTTCTCCTTATTACTATTCTGCTATTGACAGTCACCGACTAATCTGCAACTGTCTGTTTATTAGACACTAGTTTCGTTTCTTGACTTGAAATATCTGCGGGTTTTTTTTCTGTCTATCCCTCTTTTATCTCTTATTTTCCCTTTATTTTCTTTTATATTCTTCTTTATCCATCTCTTTTAGTTTTTTTCTTCTTGTTTTTCTTCTTTTTTTTTAATTCACTTTACATTAAATAAGCAGTCCGAGTCGATGAATCGGGATAAAAACTTACTGAGAATTTAGTCCTTAATTTCCTGCTATCACCTTTTAAGAATTCCTCAGGGCCACGCGTTGTTGGCAATCTGTTTGATTAAATATCGAACGGCGTTTATATCGATCAGTAGAAAAATAAAATAAGTTATAAAACTCAAAGAAAAGAAAAAGAAAAAGAAATGTCTGCAGATTCCCCGGACTAAAGCATGGGCAAGATAATGAATATCTCAACCGAACGACATATGAAAGAATTATGTTTACATCTTAGAAGCTTTCCTTTTTTTATCACATCACCCCAGGCAAAAGAGTGATGCCACTAAGACACAAGGGTTTACTGAGTATGGAAGAACAAGATGTAAAAAAGAAAAACATTAGGAACGAGAACAATAGAAGAGTAATCAAGAAAACAGTACATAGCGACTGACGCTGCATTTAAATTTTTGAAGATCAAAGAAGGCTGGAAAGTGTGAAGCCGTAAGAAAGTACCACAAACGAGAAGTGCGAGAAAAGAAACTGTTAGCATAGAACTTACGGTTACATCTAGCCAATTCAACTTAAATTTGATGAGATCAGCCTGGTACTGCGTTTAAATTCATAACGTCTCTATACCATAGCGAAGAATATTATTTATTCGAAAAATTGCAAAATGTGGCACAAGGTCAGTATTGAGGAACGGAGAAAAAGAACAGTCTTCTTCTGTCTTAAATTTAAACTTATCTACCCACGATCACTCACCAAAACATACCACAATATTCCTTACACCAAAACAATGCATTCTTACCTCCCATTCTTACAACATTCACCATAATACCTCAATGTCTCTATGGAAATCCTAGCGATGAATTCACTCCAACATTTGCTTTGAAAGTATTTATAGAAAAGGCACAAGCAAGCAACATCAAAGTGGGCCGAAAAATGACTGAAACCAGATCAGGGCGAATAATATTGCTGATTCTTCAAGTGTATCTAAATAAACAGCGGGTGCACTGAACCTGATGTGCCAGCATTATTCAAAGCATGGATAAATGGTAGACTGATACACCCTTGTGCAAATTAATTGAAACAAATCAAATAATTCAGTTAGTTATTTTATTCAGTTATTTTTCCTATTTTTCCAATGAAACATGACACGGTGCACATGTTAGTACTTCATATGTCCATTTCACGTTGCCGTTTAGATTGACCACAGATTCTCGATTGAATTTAAATCAGGAGAGTTTCTGGTCCAATCTATAGTACTTTGATTTCCTCACTGGTAAGGATTGCTAGTGTGTTCGTGCAGCGTTACAATTTTTGTACGCTTCCTTGGAGTAACGTCCATCGCAGACAATGGCCATAGGACAACTAATCGACAGTCGAGACAATAGTGTCTGGGCGTGATAAGAATCTGATGCAATCACGGATGACGCAATAGTTTTCAAGGCCAAAATATCTCATCATACACCCTGAAAATAGGTTCATATTACTGCACACCACTGCAAATGGCCTAATCTGAAGAAAGATAGAAATCTGTGTCACTCCACTGAGTCTAAAACTGACCGCATGATGAAAGAAAGGAAAAAAAAAATGTCCAGAACGACACAATGAACCGACTTTTTTAGCGGCAGACTTTTTATAGCTGAAAATTTTTGTTTCTAACTATACTGAAGACTATACACTCAACACATATGCAATGTCTGTTCCCAAAGCAGTGTCAGCTATTTTATTATGTTTATTCATGACATCAAAGGCGGGTGGAGTATCTCCAGACATGATAGAGTTCAAAACAGTTTATGTGTTCTGTTAAAGGATGACGTATTTTCCTCCCTGCAGCCTCTTTCCCCACAGACACAATTTGACAAGCATATCGTTTTCAGTTGTTTTTTTCCCGACAGCTTATAAACTTGAGTTCGAAAAGCTTTTAAAAATAGGACTCGCCATGCTACTTCCAAGGTGTCCAATCACTGTAATGCAAAAAAGTTCTT